GAGGCCATGGAAAGAGAATAGACTGTAGTTGCGGCTAAGCTTAGCGTCGCTGCCGGACTGAAGAGGGCACTCCCTATATGGTGGGAGTTCACGTGGATTCGGGGGTTAGGGCAGGAGAGAGAAGAGATTGCAGCGGGCAAGCGTTGGAGGCGCTGAATAGCTTAGGGGTGCCCTGTTTTTATCCGTAGCAAGGTCTAGTTGCGGGACTGAAAAGGGCGCCCCACATACATGGGGTGCATGATGCCAGCTGTTGAGGTCCTGCGAGAGAACCGGACTGAAGAGGGCACTCCCTACGTGGTGGGAGTTCACGTGTTCGGATTGGGGGTTGTTGGGGGCAGGAGAGAGAAGAGATTGCAGCTGGCAAGCGTTGGAGGTGGAAGGTCGGCGAGCAAGCGCTGGAGGCAGACGATTTGGAGTTGTTGGGTTGGGTTGCGTGGTGGAGGGCAGGAGAGAGAAGAGATTGCAGCGGGCAAGCGTTGGAGGCGCAAGGTTTTGAATTGCTTAGCGGTGCTTTTTCCGTAAGGGGTTCTCAATCCCGGCCGGCTTGTCTCCCACTTCCTTTCATTTGTCTCCCAGTTCTTTTCATCTGTCTCCCACGCTGGCTGCTTGTGGTCGGGTTCCCGGCTGGCTTGTCTCCCACTACCTTTCATTTGCTTCTTTTCCCCACTTCCTTTCATTTGTCTCCCACTTCTTTTCATGTGTCTCCCAGTTCTTTTCATTTGTCTCCCAGGCTGGATGCTTGTGGTCGGGTTCCCGGCTGGCTTGTCTCCCACTTCCTTTCATGTGTCTCCCACTTCTTTTCACTTGTCTCCCAGTTCTTTTCATTTGTCTCTCAGCCTCACGCTTAAAGGGCACACCCCTTTTAATTCTACCGTCTCTCTCACGTCGCTCCAATATCAACCTCACCACTTCCGGCTACTCTTTGTCCACTCTACCTACACACATATATATGTATCTCCTCACCTACCCTACCCATAGCCTCGCACATGAACAAGCCATCGCGACACCAGGTCAGAAGATCGGTGAGACAGCGCCTCAACATGTCAGCGTGAAAACGTGTTAGCGCATCAGCAACCAGGGCGCGTCAGCGTGACGGCATGTTTGCAAGTTAGCGTGACAGAGTGGCAACGTTCAATGTCGACGTGATAGGGCGCACCATGTACGCAGGTAGCCGGTAGCCTGGCAGAATGACGGCGTACCGCCAGCGTGACACCGGGCCAGCATCGCCGTGACAATGTCAGTGTAACAGCATGTGTCAGCGCGTCCGCAGAATTCCTGAAGACCCCTAAGCGCTGTTGGGGAACGATGGGTGCCACGTCTGTGTCTGACTAGCCACTAAATGGTCGCGAGATGCGGGTTCTGAGACGCTCCATTAAGATCCGGGCAGTCGAGTTGGTGCGTGGGGTGCGCTCAGGCAATGAGAAGCTTGTTGCTGCAAAAGGTCTTTGCGCACCCAGACCGCTGGAGTACCTCGGCTCAGACCGGGGGATGGCTCAGACCCTTTGAGGTGGTGAAGTCTACATTGGCTTCCTTTGAGCGTGGCGCGTGAGGACCTGACACTGCAATTGGGAGGACGTGAGGACCCCCACCACCACCACCACCACCACCACCACCACCACCACCACCACCACCACCACCACCACCACCACCACCACCACCACCTCTCTTTTTCGCGTCCTTTTGTTGGAGAACAGGCATTTTATTTGTGAGGAACTCATGTGGTTTATGGTTGAATTTGTCACGAAGACTGTGAGGTGCACTGGCAGATGGAACAGCAGATCGTTTCTAGACTGCAAAAGACTCTCGAAGCAGTACCGTGGAACATTGCCAAGCTTAGCGTCAGTGCAGCGCTGTCGCCTCCATTTGCTTTATGGACCTTTCGAAACCGGGTCTTCTTGGCCCATGCCACCATGCTATGCCATGCTGAGGCTGGGCGCCCATGCGAGAGGTGGTTCAATCCAGCCGACAAATGCAGCAACTGGACCCACAATGGAGAGAGAGGACATAGATGAATAATATATGAGGTCCATCAAACATGTTTGATACTGATACTTGTCAGGAGCGGGTGAGGTGATTGTCATTTATCTCAGCAAAGATTATAATTCCCTTATCAAAAGACGCCATGACGAGCCTCCTCAATCGGGGGTTGATGGATCTTTGCGTGCTTGCACGATCAGATGATCAGGTTTCAGGTCCAACTCCTTTCGCGTACGTCAAGCGATCCAAGAGTCACTAGCCGTCGACCCAAGGCTGATTGATCAGCTCTGGGCCTCCTTTGGACGGAATCTCACGGAGCACAATTCCTCGCATTTGAGGGACCTCAGCTACTTGTTCTCAGTGTTTGACGCCACTTATTCTCTTGTTTTTTCAGCAAACAGTGTGGACACACTAGGGGTTCTTACGGTAGTAGTTGGGCGCCAGTGTCTAATCGGAGGTGTCGCGCGGGCGTGTGCGGCTAGTTCGCTGCTATTTGCAGTACATTCATGCCTCTCGAAATCCTCGAAGTGCATTTCGACTGCGCAGGCTCACAGAATCTGCGCGCGCGGCGGGCGCTTGTCGCGACTGCGCTCTCGTTGTGGCGCTGTGCGCATTTTCGGACATGGTGGTCGCGTGGCAGGTGCAGTAAGTTGTGGACCTTGAAGTGCAGATTGCATGGCAGGCGCAGCGCTTCGTGAACCTCGAAGTGCAGATTTCGTGGCAGGCGCAGTACTTTGTGAACCTCGAAGTGCAGATTTCCTGGCAGGCGCAGTACTTTGTGAGCTTCCAAGCGCAGCTTCGTGGCAGTCGCAGCGCTTTGCAAACCTCGAAGTGGAGATTTCCTGGCAGGCGCAGTACTTTTTTGTGAACTTCGAAGTGCAGATTTCGTGGCAGGCAAAGGGCTTTGCAAACCAGATTTCGTGAGGCACAGCGCTTTTTGTCAACCTCAAAGTGTAGATTTCGTGGCGGGCGCAGCGCTTTTTGCGCACAGTACTTTGTGAACTTCGAAGTGCAGATTTTGTGGCAGGCAAAGTGCTTTGCGCATCTCCTCGAAGTGCAGATTTTGTGACAGGCGCAGCGCTTTTTGTGAACCTCAAAGTGCAGATTTCGTGGCAGGCACAGCGCTTCGTGAACCTCAGAGTGCAGATTTCGTGGCAGGCGCAGCGCTTTGTGAACCTCGAAGTGGAGATTTTGTGGCAGTGTGAACCTCGAAGTGCATTTTCTGCTTCTCACATGCTCTCTCTCATTCCCTCTCACTCTCACTCTCACTCACACTCACACTCACACTCTCACCCACTCTCACTCTCGACCCACTCTCACCCTCACACGCGCTCTCATCCACTCTCACTCTCACTCTCACTCTCACTCTCACTCTCACTCTCACTC